TAATTCCATCATGGTCAGAGAAGATGCTGGGTATAGTTTTTATGCCTTTGAATCTGTAAAGGCTTGATTTGTGTTCTATCATGGTCAATTTTTGAAAAGGTTCTGTGCCGTGGTGAGAAAAATGTGTATTTTATGGTCTTAGGGTGGACAGTTTTGATAGATGTCTGTCAAGCCCATTCAATTTATACTGTTATTTAGGTCCTGTATCACACTGTTTATTTTTTGTATAGAAGATCTGTCTAATGGAGATAATGGGGTGTTGAGATCCACCAACAATTATAGTGTTACACCCTATCTTTCCTTTTAGCTCCAGCAGTCTTTTCTTCACGTATTTAGGTGCTCCTGAGTTGGGTGCATAGATATTTATAAGCATTATGTCTTCCTGATGAATTAACCTATTTACTATTATTTAATGCCCTTCTTTATCTCTTACAGTCTTTGTCTTGAAGCCTATTTAGTCTCAAATCGATATTGCAACTCCAGCCCTTTTTGATTTCTGTTTGCATGGAATATCTTTTTCCAGCCCTTCACTTTTAGTTTATGTATGTCTTTATCCACAAGGTACTTATCTTGTAGGCAGCAGATAGAGGGTTTCTGTTTTTTTATCCATTCAGCCAGTCTGTATCTCTTAATTAGAGAATTTAATTCATTAACATTCACTGTTATTGATATTTCCAGACCTTTTCCTATCATTAAGTGAGCCATTTTCTTGGTTGTTTTTTATTCTCTTATAACTGTCCGTCTGACTTTTTAGTTTTCCTGGTATAGCACTCCCTTCAGAAACTCTTGAAGAGCTGGTCTGGAGTTGATAAATTCTTTCAGGTTTGTTTATCTGAGAAGGTTTTTTATCTTCTTTTCCCATATGAAGGATAATCTTGCTGAGTTTAGTATTCTTGGTTGAAATCGTTTTTCATTTAACACTTTGACTATATTTCCCTATTCCCTATTCTTGCCTGCATTATTTCCAAAAAGAGGTCTGATGTTAGCCTAATGGAATAACCTTCTTAAGTAACTTGATGTTTTCCTCTTACCAATTTTAGTATCTTGTCTTTGTGGTATTGGCCAATCTGGCCATGGTATGCCTTGCAGAGGATCTTCTTGGATTGATTGTATTTGGGGTCCTTTGTATTTCTTGGGTCTGGATATTTGAATGCTTCTCTAGGTTTGCAAACTTTTCTTCCAGGAATTCATGAAATAAATTATCAATGCCCTTATTGTTGTCTTCCTCTCCTGGTATGCCAATTATCGAGATGTTAAGGCGCCTGATGGTATCTAGTATTTCTCATATATTATCCGCATTTTTCTTGTTTGTTTGTTTTTTTTCCTCAGTCCTTTTGATAGTTTTTTCTAGGTTAGAGGCTTTGTCTTCTATACTTGAGATTTGACCTGCTTCATCTAATCTACTTCTAATACTTTCGAGGGAGGTTTAATTTTCTGTATCACATTCATCATCACTAACAATTCCATTTGACTCTTTTTTATGGTGTCTGTTCTTTCATATCATGAAAGGGCTTTCTCATCTCCTGGAGCTCACTGTCTTTCTTCTTTTGCATCTCATTTAGTTTAGTCACTACAGATATTCTGAATTAGTTATCTGACATTTCCATGACTTCCATTGTGTTGTTGGTGGGTGATGCAGAGTTGATGTTTTCCCTTAGGGAGAGATCTTTTGTTGGTTGCAATTGTTTCTAGTCGTCTGGTGACCTATATGTTCCTTCCTAAATTATTCAAGGTATCTCTGAGTGTTCAAAGGTGTGCAGGAGTAGAAAATTGGTGCACTCTCTTCTGGTCTGCCTCCCTGTTGCTTACCAGCACCGTGCACTGTTATTACTGGTCTTGGGTGACTCAAAGTCCTCCCTGTTTCTAAAGAACAGATGCACCTCAAACTGAGCTGCTGAGCTTCACCTCAGGAGCAAAGAAAAGATCACACAGCACGCAGTGTGCACCTCCCACTATCCAAAATACCAAAGTCCTGAGACTTCAAAGGCAAGTAAGGGAGGAGATGACCCACAGGTCCAGGCCATTAGGCCCTGCAGCCACAGGCAGCCTGGAATAAGACAAGGCTGTGAACGGTGTCCAGATGGGGTGGGGAGGGGCACAAGTACATCTGAAAGTCTTAAGTTCCAGGGACAAGCAGGGAAAGGGAAGAACCATGCGTCCCAACTGTTAGGCATTTTTAGATCTATTGCGGTTCTGCCCTTTGGACTTCCACGTGACTTCAGTAGCACACAGTGATGCCTTGCTGCCTCTGTCATTAAAGCCGGACCTGGCCACCATTTTTATATGGTATCATTGTGTGCTACTGAAGTCAAATTTAAATAAGTAAATAAAGTTAAATAAAATAGTTCTTAAAATAAAAAGAATGAAAAGAAGGACGAGGTGAAAAGAAGATTAGGAAAGGAGAGAGAAAAGAAGGGGAATGGTACCAACAGTTGGTATAATGGCTATGTCACTGGACTTTCATGTAGTTGACTGTGGTTCAAGTCCCGGGTCTGATGGCTTAAACTCAGACCGGGCACGTGTGTGTGTGTGTGTGTGTGTGTATGTGAGTGTGTGTGCATGCCCAAGATCCCGAGAGAAGAATGGAGAAGGGATTGCGGCGTGGCCATTCCCGCACCCCGGGGGGTGATTTCTCGCTTTCTCACTTCTTTTTGGCAAGCGCACGCACGCTATAGAAAAAATCTCT